TGGCTGCAAAGGACTCACATAAAGGGGTTCCCTAGTTAATCTAGAAACAGGCTAAAATCAGCCTTTTGCACTGGATGTTCAAGAATATCCTGAGGATGTTTGATAGCCAATTATTCCTTTGCTGTTTGTTCCCCTCTCCTAGACCCTCTCGTGGCCATGGCTTCATCTCCCGGAACCCCAATTCTTTGTAGTGGAGGATCAACAGCAGCTGAGCTTCCAACGCAGGTAGGAGGATTCTCCCCTCCCCTCCCCAGATGTGCCAATCTCCCAATAACAGAATATCACAATTGGAAGGGATCTTGGAGATCTTCTAGTCCATCCCCCTGTTTCAAGCAGGAGACCCTATAGCCTTTCAGACAAGTGGGTGTCCAGTCTCTCCTTAAAAACCTCCAGCCCATAACTTCTGAAAGCAAACTGTTCCATTAGCTAATTGTTCTCACTGTCAGGAAATTTCTCCTTAATTCCAGGTTGCCTTTCTCCACAATTAGTTAGCATCCATTGTTTTCTCTTGCCTTCTGGTGCTTTGGAAAATAAGTTGAGCCTCCTCTTCTTTGTGGAAACCCCTCAAATATTGAAACACTGCTATTGTGTCTCCCCTGGTCCTTCTTTTCTCTAGACTGGCCACATCCAGTTCCTGCAACTGTTTTTTGTGTCATTTAGTCTCAAAGCCTTTAATCCTTGGTTACTGTTTGCACTTTTTCCAAAGTCTCCACATCTTTTTTTGTAATGTGGTGACCAAAACTGAACTTGGTATTCCAGGTGTGGTCTTTACTCTGGGTTTTTTTAAAGCGGTGAACATGAAAGCCCAAAGTAAAAAGTAAAGTCCAAGCATGGCTTTTGTAGAGAGCGCAGTAGCTGCCCAGATGAAGTTGGAGACACTGACATAGGCTTGTAGACTTTTATATAAACATAAATATATTTAACATGAAAAATTTACAGCAGCCTTTGTCACCATCCAGAAAAGGAAGAACGTAAGATAGTCAGGAAAACAGAGGAACATCCTGAGGTAAATCTAAACTTAGCATCATGTAGAACACAGAGGGGAAAAAGGAGGGAAAAAAGGGAAACGCCCCCTTTCTACTTACAGCAACCAATCGTAGCGTAGATTGCATCCTGCATGAGTCAGCACCCTCTAACTCAGCAGTTGGCCAACGGTGGGCCGTGAGAAAATTTTGGTGGGCCGCAAAGCAATCTCACCCCCAGAGCACCCCCACAAAGCAATTAATGCAGGCTGCGCAGAAACACAAGGCTGCGCAGCCCACATGGTCCGTGGGAACCCTCCCTGCCCTCTCACTCTTTACCCGGTAAACTTGCCTGCTAAATTCCTATTTTTCCTTTTTCCGACCATCATCTGTTCTGCTGTGCCGAGAGATTTAGATTAACTAGGAAGCAGGAAATGGTTGGATTTCTTGATTTCTAGCTAGTCTTTAGATCTTCAGCGCAGCACAGCCGAACCTCCCTTAGGACTGAAGGTTTGCTTGCAAGCAAATTCAGTGCAGACTCACGGCAAGCAAATTTGAGAGACTGAGCTCGCCGATGGCATATAGCTAGATCACTGAATGATTTTGTGAGCAACTCAATCTGCCTGCTTTCCCTGATTTTGGGTAAAATTTGCTCTTTTTTAAAATAAAGAATCCAATATTTACGTGCATGGTGTGTTGTGAGTTAATTTTGTGAGTTTGCTTGCAAGCAAATTTTATGTCACAGACTGAGCTAGCCAATGGCAGACAGATAGATCTCTGAATGAATCTGTGATTCTGTGAGCAACTCAATCTGCCTGCCTGCTTTGCCTGATTTTGGGTAAAAGTTGCTCTTTTTTATAAAAAATTCAATATTTATATAAATATTTATAATATTTACATACAAGCCATGCCCAGCCAGTCACATGACCACCAAGCCACACCCACAAATTAGGCCATGCCCACAGAACCGGTTAGTGGTCCCTGGGATCTAAAATTATGAGTTTGGTGGTCCGTGAGGTCCAAAAGGTTGACGACCCCTGCTCTAACTAATCAGTTACAAATGTGTTCCGGCCTATTGTATACTTTACCCTTCCAGCTACTAAATTCAATATGCTACATGCTCTTTGGCCTTCTTGGAAGCTGTGGAGGTTTTTCATTAAGAAGACTCGCATGTAATTAATTGAAGTGTTCATTGTTAGGAATCTTCATGGAATATGTTGGTTTTTTCCCCTCCCTGTATCAGAATTTCGTATCATTTGAGGATGTAGCTGTGTTTTTCTCCATGGAGGAGTGGGCCCTGTTGGATTCTGAGCAAAAAGCCCTGTACCGGGAGGTCATGCTGGAAAACAAGAGGAACGTGGCCTCCTTAGGTAAGGTATTCTGTTATGATACTGTAGTACAATATATAGTACTAGCCCTCACAATTTACTCCCTCCCTTTTGTTAAGAATCAGATTCAATCTTGCACATGCTGTGCCGGAAGGGAACAAATAACCAAGTGGAACAGGTTAAACACAAAGACTGAGAATATAAACCACAGTTTAATACAGTACTGTAAATAAAAGAGTTTCAAATACTGTGCACTATATTGCTGCTAGCAGCGACCATTGCTATGCTTTTGTCAAGGGAAAGAAATGATCGACAGAGAAGAAAGACATATTCCTGCATTACAGTACTTCCTCCCCACACCATAACATTGATTTTACTAAACAGCTCTGAGCCACCCTCTCTCTCTCTCTCTCCCCAGGACAAGATACTGTCCTTTTCCATCAACTCTTTCTTAGGCTAGAAGTGTCTTCCCAAGGAAAGCAACCAAGCTCTACTCCGGCTCAACATGGAGGTAAGAAACAAAGGAAAAGTATCAATTTGGTCTTGAAAATGAAAATAATTAAAGCCCATGAGGAGGGGAAGAAGGTAAAGACCTTAGAAAAAGGAGGAGGACTGGCTTGTTCCACCATATGCACGATCCTTAAGGGTAAAGAAAAGATAAAAGAGGCAATTAAATTAGCTTCAGGAGCTGATGCCATAATCACGAGAAATAGGACAGGCCTCCTTTCAAAAACAGAACAGCTCCTTGTGCTTTGGATTGACAATCCGATCCCAAAAAGAAGTCCCATTAGTCTTCATCTGATTCAGGAAGAGGCATGGAGCATTTTTGAAACACTAGAGCGAGCAGCGGGTGAGGAGTACAATGAGACCTTTGGAGCCAGTCGTGGCTGGTTTGCGCAATTCCGAAAATGATTTAATTACTATAACTTATGAACAACAGGTAAAGCTGTGTGTGCTGTTGAAGCTGCCCATACTTTCCAGACCAACTGGAGTAAATTTAAATATATATTTACAGTATGACTCTCTCTCTGATATAAAATACATTATATAAAGTTTTTGTCAGCAGCTCTGACTTCATTTCGATACCTACTGAGCAATTCCCTGACAATTTTTCCCCCCTGGTCTGAAAAGGTGATGGACATGAGCAACTCATATAAAAGACTTAATTTGTATGCACTAGATCAGTGATCCCCAACCTTTCTTATGCTGCGGCCTGGCATCCCCAACCTTTTTTATGGCACGGCCTGGTACTGGCATCAGCTGGGCGCCGCCATCTTTTTTTGATGAAAAAGTGCTTCCGGTGAGCTTTCTACCCGGAAAACCTCACCGGAAGCACTTTTTCATCAAAAAAAGATGGCGGCGCCCAGCAAACCAGCGGCCCGGTAGGACTTGTTTCACGGACCGGTACCGGTCCGCGGACCGGTGGTTGGGGACCCCTGCAC